GAAATAAAAAAAAAAAAAACACACACACACACACACGCACGCACACACAAAACATATTTTGAAGAAAAATCTTTATTAGAAATATTAAGTCCCTGTTCTGTAAATTTCAATAAAAGTTGATGAAATATGTTGTTGAAAAGTTATGAATTTCATAAAATATGTAATTAAAATTAATATTACCTTGAACTTAAATTAGAATCTTAATTTTAATTTCTTCCCACGCTAAATCCTCATCCATTAATCCTTATGAAACAAGGTGTATATCCAAAAATTTTAGAAACAATTGTGACCGTTGAAAAAAAGCAACAGTTAAATTATAAAAAATGCACAATCATAATACATTAGGTTTAAATCCACCATTGACCATCTAACTTTATATTTAGTGTCACCAAAACCATCCAATTTAATTTTGTTTCATCTGGCCATCAAATTTGATTTTATTTCACCATGACCACCCAATTTTATATAACATTTCATCATAACCACCTAATCTCATATAAAGTTTTACTATGATTATCCAACTTCTGTTCACTAATCTATAATATATAAAGTACCACATCAAATGAAAAATCAATTTTTGGACGATTCTAACCTTACTACAAGTCAATTATTTCAATAATACATTACTTTCACATTTCAATATGTATTTAACATTACAATTATGTATCTCACCATTTACGCGAATGTATAAGCTAATATTTATTTCAGGGGTTTGCATTTGCATTTATCTCGTATTTAGATCAAAATGGTACAAAATTAATTACACTATATGTTTTGGAGACTATCCAATTACTTCAGGAGTAAATAAATTATTCAAGTTCATGTACACTTATTTATTTTTAAGATTATTCATTTAATCTGTGATATAAATTTATTATTCGAGGTCACATACACACCATTGTCTAAATTATTTTTTCAAGATCACATGTATATAATTTTTTTTTTATATTCATTAATTCAAATTGATTGAATTCCATGTTTATGAATATATTTGATTGTTAGATGTAAATGAATTAATCTCTCAACCATTCAGTGAGCTGCTTGAATGCCTTGTCCCTACAAACTGTATGTTCACATAAACAATTTTTTATATTCACAGGTTTTCAAATATTATTTTTACAGCACTTATAAAATATTTCAAAATAAAGTGCACAGTGCAATTCATATTTACCTAGAACTAGTTTTAAAAGGGGTAAAACAGTCATTTGCATTGTATATAAAATAAATTTTAAAAAACAAAAAAAAATATTTAAAAAATATAATATAATAAAAAATTATTTAAAAATAGTTACTTAAAAAATTAAAAAAACTTATTTTATAAAACTGTTAATTAAAAAAAAAAACTATTTTTAAGTAATTTTTTTAAAATAAGTTTTTATTTTATTATATTTTCTTAAATAAATTTTTATTTTATTTTTTAAAATTTATTTTATATATAATGCAAAGTTACCGTTTTACCCTTTTTAAAATGAGTGAAAAGAAGTTGGTAGTCATAGTGAAATGTTATATGAAATTGGATGATCATGATAAAACTTTTTATGAAATTAGGTGGCATGGTGAAATAAAATAAAATTGGGAGGCCAATAAAATTGGATGAAATAAAATCAAATTAAGCTACCACAACGATACTAATACAAAGTTGGATGGCAGATTTAACCCTAACATTACAAGAGTTAATTGTTCCAATGGTAACTGAAATTAGGTGGATGTATTCGATTGGCCACTGAACTTTAAAATATCGAGTTTTCATTACTGAATTTTGAAAAATGTCGAGTTTTGGTCATTAAACTTAGGTCCATATCTTTGAGTGATCACTGAAGTTTAAAATGTCACGTTTTGATCACTGAACTTAGGTCAACGTCTTCCATTGCTCGCTAAACTTAGGTTCATGTTTTAGATTGTTCACTGAAATTTAAAATGTCGAGTTTTGACCACTGAATTTTGGAATATGCCGTACGTTACTCATTAGCATAACTCTTGAATTTTAAAAAATATCGAATTTACATTAAAAAATGTACAAAATTTTTCAAAATTCAGTGAGTAGTGTACAATATTTTTCAAAGTTCAGTAAGTAATGTACAATATTTTTCAAAGTTCAATTATTAAAACTGAACATTTTAAACTATATTGAGTAATCGAAGATATGGACTTACGTTCAATCATCAAAACTCAATATTTTAAAATTTAGTGTCAATTGAAAATATGAACTTAACTTCAGTGGCCATTAAAACAATTAACTCACATTACAACAATACGGAGAACATTAACAGGTAATCTTCCATGAAAACTTCTCTCTCTAAATTTGGGGAAATATTTTCCTCTACCTTTCTTTCCAGATTACTTGATTTCTCCCTTTGATCGTCTTTTAATTGGGTAATTATTTTAAGTTTTCTAATCAATTTTCAAATTTTATTCTTATTTCAGTTTTCTTTTTGTTGTATTGTTATTATCTGGTTTTAAATATAGAAATATGTATACATGCAATGCCTGCATTTGTCTTTTGAAGACATAATCTTTGTGGGTTTTTGTTGGGTTGTAGGTTGTCTGGCCATTGATCACTATTTAAATTTCTAATGAATTTCTGAAGATTAGGGTTTCACTTTTTTTTTTTTTTTTTTTTTTTTTTTGGGTTTTTTTTTATTTCTTTTTTTTTTTTTTTTTTTTTTTTTTTGTGGTTTTGTTTTTTCGATTTTTGCAGGAGTTACTAGTAATTTATTGCGATTTATCATTTATCGCTGGTAATTATTAAAGGTGGAAGTGTGAGAAATCCTGAAACTTTTTGATGATAAAAAGGTGAATTCATCTTTGTGTTTGTTTTGTTGTGTTTTTTATTAGATGATTGTTTTTGGGCTTCACAGTCATCAATTACATGGTCTTCCACTGTGAAATTACCGGGGAAAAAGGATTGATTGTTATTTGGCTATGTAGGTTTCATTTACTTTTTATCTGATTGCTGGAAAAGAAAAATACTAAACTTGAGTTATAATATTCCTTTTTTCTTTTCCCCTCTGATGAAAACTTGAATGCCTTTTGTTATTTATAACCGGTAAACAATTTGCTGTGTGCTATTAAAAGCTGCACTTTTACTTGACACAATCTATCAGAAAGATTTAATCTAATGTTGGAAATTCCTAAAATTTCCATTTTACTTGGTTTGCTTCAAGTGTTCTGGAATTATTTAAGCTGTTTTCGTTGGGGTACATTTAGGAAAGATTGAATTGGTTGAAATAAGTACAATTGCATACGGAGTCATGACTATATGATTCTGTCAGCCAAAAAGGTTATTAGGTCCACAAGTATCAAATTTGCAAGAAAGTTGTTTTGATATCCCTCTTCTAGATTCTTGGAGCTTATCGATATGGTTACTCTATAAATGTTGTTTAATGGTTCAAGTGTATTCTTGTAACTTCACTAGTGAGCAGAGGCATGTAGACAATAAAGTCGTAATTTTATTTTTACAGCTGTCTTTCCGTGATCAGCTTTAATTTCACTTAATGATTTTGTGTTTTACTCGTTCTGTGGTATTGTTGTGTTGCTGCAAGTTTCAGACACCTGTCAAAATCTTTTATTTTATTTGTTTCATGGATCTCTAATTTCTGTTCAACTGTTATAAAGTTATTGCATAATTTTATGGTCTATACTCGCAATGCACTAGTAATTCCAGGTGAATAATGTTTTTTTTTTTTTTAAAGTGAACACTACTGGATTATGAACTCATGGAGTTCTCCTGAAGTGAAGGACTCGTCTCATGGTTTCAGTTTGCTTTATCTTATATCATTTTTCTGTTGATTTCGACGATGTGTCGGAATCAGATAATCTGTATGCTGTAACATAATGAGCTGAAATAAGATTGTGTTTTGACGTTTCATTGGAGGACTCTATGTTGATAAATCATATTATGAACTGACCACCTGATTTCTCTCTGTCATGTTCAGTGAGTTCACTTGAAATTTATCTTTTGTTCTATAACAGTTTTCGTCTGGGTTCAATTATTAATTATGTATATTCTCATCTTTGTGCAGGCATCTCATACAACATGCATCGGAGCACACAGTTCGGGGGTCATATGATTGATTCGCAAACAAATCAGCAAGGTCCCAGTCATTTACATCCTGAATCTTGTATCTTTTATGGGACTGCTTCAAACTTTCTTCAGCCTAATATCCATTCCATGGTTCCTGCTCCAGGGAACCCTTGTAATTTTAATTATCAACATACACCAGAACATCATGATGGTGCTTTATTCTATGGGTTGACACAGTACAGTGCTGTCCACCATCAGCCTCCGGCCTCAAATCTCGATTTAACTGTTGCCGCGCCATCCGGTCATTATAATCCATATGTGGCACCTCCATCTGGTATTAGGGATTTCCCTGTTCCGGTAAATCATGGGGTGCATGATCAGTTGTCACTATCAAGCACTCACAGAACTGTTGGTATTCCTACAGAGAACTACAGAAGAATCATTCCTTACATGGATGGAGTCGGAGGCTCATTTAAGATGAAGAATGTTGAAGGTTTTCCTGGAAATTATTATTATCATAATGCTTTAGTGGGCCTTAGTTCTGTTATTTCTCCTGTGACTTCAAGGCCGACTGAGTCCGTTGCTGCTTCTTTTCTGCCACCTGAGTATGCAGGTGATGACCCTACATCAATGGTCGAAAGTGGATCTCATGGAAGTTTGAGTAATAGACCTGGTATAGTTAGACCTGAATCTGCTATGGCACAAAACCCTAATCATTTTCAAGGAAATCATGTCGCTCAATCATGGCAGTTTCCCAGCAATCCTTGGTTGAACATGCATTTTAACAATGGTGATAACGGCCCTTGTTGGAACCAGGCTCTCAATTCACCCTATGCGCATGGTAAATGTGCCTTTTTATTTTTATAAATTATTCTCGGCCTTTGTTGCCATCATTTGTTTTGAATTTCTGGTTTCTGTTCTGATGATTTTCTCTATGTGCCTCCTCACTCCCTTCTCTAATTCTTGGCATCTCAGCAAATGTGAATGGACCTTATGTTGAAGCTGGGAATATTGGCGTACAAGGTTATCAAATGACAGCCATTAACAGAAGTTCCAGTGGTTTTCATCGTTCTCCCATTGCTCAGGGCCACCCCCATCTTCATCATCCATCTCCACCTACGCAAGGGGTTGGAAGATATAATTATAACTTTCCGTCTCAAGTGGCTGCATCTTCACTTAGAACATCGACAATCAGTTCTTCAAATAGTGGCGTCAATGCTCTCCAGGATGTTGCAGATGCTGGGCCTACATTTGTAGCACCTGTTTTGCCAACAGGCTTTGGGTTGTACGAACCTCATAGAATGGAACTCGTACTTGATTCAAATGCAAGGCACCACAACCTCCCTCATTTGAGGGTTCTGCCAGAAGATGTAATATTCTTATTGTTATTTTAGTTTGAGCGTTTTCCTGCATGAACTTCTGTTTCATTTAAATACCTTTTAGTTTTGTCATAACTGGCTAATTTGGTTGATGACTATGTTTTTTATATTGATGTGTTTGATGAACTAGAGACTTATAGTAATTTTTCTTTTTGATGGATGGACATTTTTAGGGAGTTGCCATGCTAGAGATTCCCGGCTATAATGAAGCAGGAGATTCTATAGATCGACACTGGGATATGCGTCTGGATATAGATCACATGTCGTATGAGGTAACTGAGGAGGTTACATTGATCTGATATGATTTATTTTTAAGATTTTAGAGCAGTTTATGAAAATGGTTTTCCTCAACAGTGTGACCATGTGATGTATAGTTGTACGAGGGTAAAGACACTGTTAAGTTACTGAACTTATGGTGTTGCCGTACTTTTATCACCAGTTTTCTTTTTATCTTTTTGTTCCAATCGAATCATTTTACAATTTATGCATTCCTCCCTGTCGCTTGTTGTAAATAGTCCATTAATGCATTTATTTTGTTGTTTAAATTGGCAAAAATGCTTTTTTCTAAAAAATAAATGTATTTATGAAGCACATATTTGTAAAATTACATCTTGGCAATATGGAGAATGAAACCAATGCATTAATGGATCTTTTAAGCTGCATCATCAGTGATGTCATACAAGTTGGCAAATCCCTTACTTCTGCCAGATGGGGATAGATAGAGTACTGAAACTAAAGCAAAGCAAATTCATTGACGAATTTGGACCAAAATGTAAGGCAAATCTGTTACTTTCGCCAGATGGAGGTAGATAGAGTGCTGAAACTAAAGCAAAAGCGCAATTCATTGACGAATTTGAACCAAAAAAGCTTGATGACCAAAGAAACATAAGTTCGGAGAAAAACAATAATTTTCACCCTTAAGTGACCTGTGACACAATTTTTCTGAACTTGATGTTTTCTTTGACAGGAGCTTCTTGCACTGGGGGATCAGATTGGTAATGTTGGCACTGGATTGTCTGAAGAAGCCATTCAAAATAATTTGAGAACAAGAACTATCACTTCATCGGCACCTTGTTCCAATATTGAAGAGGCAGCATGCTTGGATCAGAAAGTCAATTTATGTGTCATATGCCAGGTATTATTCTATATTATGATATGGAACTAAATGATGTTAGATTATGTTTATTATTTAATTGTATCAATTATCTTTCATTGTGGAACTAATCTTGAATAAAATACAAGTGATACAAGTGTAACAATACCAGGTATTATTCTATATTATGATATGGAACTAAATGATGTTAGATTATGTTTATTATTTAATTGTATCAATTATCTTTCATTGTGGAACTAATCTTGAATAAAATAAAAGTGATACAAGTGTAACAATACATAAGTTGCTGATGTTTCCATCCCTTCTGCATGACATATCCTTCCTCTCCCTCTATCTCCCACCCTATGCAACAGAATGAAAGCAGGAGGCTTACAGATTTTTTGTTTGGATCAAAACTACAGTTAAAGGTTCTTTGAACCCGATTTTTGGGAGAATAGATTTTGTAGTAGTGATTTTTTTTTTTTTTTGGGGGGGAGAATTTGTGATGAAAAAGTGAGGAAAAGTTGTGTCCATGAGTAAAATTATTTTATTGGGAGAACGTGTGGTTGAAAATGAAATTAAGAAAAAAATGAGTTTTTAAATAATGGGGTTCAATGAGGGGCTAAGTTACTTTCATTGTTGTTTCACTTGGTTCACCAAAATTGTTTAGTAGGTCATTTAACTTTCATTTTTGTTTTAGTTTAGGTATTTTGCCTCGTTGAATTAACACTAATGTGTCGTGATTAAGTAAAATGATGACATGGTATGAAAAAATAAATTGTAGTCCATTATTTGATCGTGTAGTTTGGCAAAAATGTTTATTTTTGGAAAAGTTGCAATTTCGAAATGGATTTCTTTAAAGAAAAAAGAAAGAAAGGAAGAAAGCACGATTTGTTCAACAAGACGCTGTTTACGATTTGTTCAACAAGACGCTGTTTTGCCTAATTCGACAATAAATACGAGGCACCAACAATTTTTTCATGCCACATCAGCATTTCACATTTCCGTTAAGTCAGCTGGTGGAGGTGGACAGAGTGCCTAAATTGAAACAAACGTGTTCGGTGACTAACTTGGACCAAAAAAAGGTCGATGGCCAAAGTGAAACAATGCTATAAGTTGAGTGATTAAAGTTTGCCCTTGACCCAAACTTTGTATGTAGACCAAAAGGTGCCCCTTGTGAGCACGTACCGTGAATAGCTGCTTCCATTGTTATAATTGGATATTGTATGAAGCAAACCTTTACATTGATGTTTGTTTGCTCAATCTTACTCTTATGTAGATCGATTATGAGGATCAAGAAAATATTGGGATCTTGAATTGTGGACACGAATGCCATGGAGATTGCATAAAGAAGTGGCTGCTCGTGAAAAATACTTGTCCCATATGCAAATCAACGGCATTGATAATTGACAGGAAGGATGTGTAAATAAAGGAGGCATTTGTAGTTGAAAGACCAGTTTAACAAACAGGGCCTTCTGTCATTTTACAAACATTCATAGTATGAACTTTTTGGTTATGTATTTATGTAAATGCTTTCAGGCATAAAGTGGCAGTCAACATTTGTCCAGTTGCTGGCTTTTGTGTCTGTCTCTTGCAAAGTGTACAGATTTTCTCATTTGTTTGTTGAATTCTGCATGGAACCCTCTATTTACTACTAGTTGATTTATTCTGCTGAATGCTCAAAGGATTTTGCTTTTATCTTTTTCCTCAAAAGGGTTTGAATATTGGGTTGGCCTGTTTTGAAAAACTGATGCTACCTCAGATCTTATGTACAGATGGGTGAACTTCTGGAACAAATTCAATTTTGAGTAATTCTAGCAGGCAGTTTCTTTTAGTTCTGAAATCCTTGATTCTTTAAGCATTCTCACCATTGATAAGATTAGGAAAGTAATAAGGAACTGAAATACGATACGATTCAATATCTAAATCAGAACACTCGGGAATGTCTGGTTGTAACTACTCATTCATCAACTATAAGAAACATTGAAAATCACTGTTTTGAAGAATTTTAATCCAGATACCACGCAAACTGCAGTATAATACAACAGCAGATCAGAGCACACAAATGGAACAGTACAGATTGAAAGAAAAAACGAACAACACATCTCTAACTCCAAAACTGAGCAGCTCTAGCCCTAGCTCTAGCTTAGGACAATCACTGAAAGTATAGCGACAACAAAAAGAAATAGCACCGTCTGAAAGGTTAATGGAATTCAAGGAGAACGCAACACCCACTGATTCACGAGTCTTGTGATTAGACTGAGCAACAACCAACCTTCTTCACCGCTGAAACGTCCTCCTTGGTCCCAACGTCTATGGTTTGCCCTTTGGGCAGGGCAGCAGGGTCATCTCCAATATCAAGTGCCTTCCGACTAACCACATGGTATATTTGGGTGAGTACTTCCGTAAAAGCATTCCCGACATTCATAGACTCGAGTGCAGATGTCTCCATAAAGTATGTATTTTCTCTCTCGGCAAAAGCCTTGCCATCCTCAGTGGAGACGGCACGTAGATGACGTAAATCAGCCTTGTTGCCCACAAGCATTATAACAATATTCTGGTCTGTGTGATCTCGGAGCTCTTTCAACCATCTTTCAACATTCTCGAATGTGACATGTCGAGTGACATCATAAACAAGCAAAGCACCAACTGCCCCCCGGTAGTATGCACTTGTGATTGCACGGTATCTTAAGACAAATTAAAAAATTGAGAATCAAGAAACTTAAACATGTGATATAAACAAATAACAGGCATATATATTTAGTTCTGCACACCTATTCTTGCCTCAGATAAATTATAATGAATTCACGACGAGAAAGATGGTGCAATATGTTTGCAACTGAAAAAACTTTCAAGGGATACAAGCACACACATATATCCTGAATCATATCTTTCGACTTCAATATTGCAGTTTCTTAGTTACTCTTGTGCAATGAAAACTGCAGAAAAGGTAGACATTTTTATTTAAACTTCGAAACATAATCCAACTATTAAAACCTCAGAACTTCGAGAGAGGGTGCTTTACTTGCCACAACAATCTAACCATAGTCCTTAAGCCTGTCCCGAAACTTCATTCTGATTGCAAAAAAATTGAAGTTCATAGCAATTTATTTGTCTGTCTTCTACTTTTTTTTGTACCAAACATGACCTAAAGTTTTTCCTCATTAATTTGAACCCCACCACTAATAAACCCTAATTTCTCCAGTTCTTTACAACAAGATCAAAGAATTCGAATTCCAATAATTTCGTAACAAACTCAACAATAAAAAAGTTTAAATTACAAAAAAAAATTAAAAGTATAATCAGCGAGTGATAAACTATGGTACCGTTCTTGGCCGGCGGTGTCCCAAATCTGGGCTTTAACGATCTTATCTTCTACACTAATGCTTCGGGTGGCGAATTCTACGCCGATGGTGGACTTTGACTCCAAACTGAACTCGTTGCGCGTGAATCTCGATAGTAAATTCGACTTTCCAACCCCAGAATCGCCAATCAAAACCACTTTGAACAGGTAATCGTAATCATCTTCCGCCCTGTATCCTCCCGCCATCTTAATATACAAGTTTACGTCTTTCTAGTTATACATGAAGAAACCCAGTAAATGCTAGTATGGGTTGGGAATTTAAGAGCAAGAGAAATCAAGAAAATTGGGCAACAGGGTATATGGTTGAGCCAGCTTTTACCAGCTGGTTTAAAAGGTGATTGAACGATGTAAATCAGTTGGGAATTTGATGATGCCTATTGCAGCACATATTGTTACATCTTTTATTTTATTTTTTTATTTTTGCCGTTTTTAATGTTGTATTGGATCGATGAATTACGCTCAACAAATGTGTGGCAATGTAGTAGAAATTTATTGACACCTTGCAGGAAAAAGAGAAAAAAAATAAAAAAAATTACAACTTTAAGGAGTTTATGTTTTTTGAAATAAGTCATTTGTACTTGTTTGTTGACACTTTAGGTTACCCGACCCCATTACTACTCTCACATGAGGTCAGGTCCCATGTGGGGGTCATGACATGGGATCCGACCCCCATGTGAGAGGAGGAGTTGGATCCGAGTAAATCAAAGTGTAAACAAATAAGGACAAGTAGCATGATTTATGTTATTTTGCAAATTGTTTGAATGGCATTCTCAATTTTGATATGGTGAAAAATTATGTTACTTCTAACTTGTTAGTATAAATCTCTTAAATAATCGTTGTAAATATTCTTCTTCTTTTTATATATCTTCATTCAACTGAATTGGTTTCGACAGACGAAGAAAGATCTAAATTGAAACTTCGAAAGAAAGGCAACATACAATACATTAATTAGTTCGCAATCCGCCATAAGTCGATGAAAGCTACTGATATATCGAGTTCCTTTTGGGGATTTTGGACAACAATGGGGAGTAAAAATCAGTTAATAAGTATCAAAAACAATTATCTCATCGACAAATATACGAGGAGAGCGCGAGTAAGTTCAATGAGGTCGGAACTCGTCATCTTACTTTCATTGTAGAATAATGATACATGGAACTAAAAATGTCATTGTTAATTATCAGGAAACCTTATCAGCCAGTTCAAGTATTAAATACATAAACGACATCAAAATGCCAAATTCCTAAATTCAGGCTTAAGCCTTGTACAGGAGGAAAATACTAATTATAGACAAGATAAATTTTGATCTTATTCATCATCGAATCCGTCGTGCCCCTTCTTCCTCTCATGCATGTCAAGGTGAATTGAATTGTACACAATCGAGCCGTACGCCCGATCCGTAATTTTATTGATCGAAGAGACATGTCATATCAATCCTATAATTCTAGACTCATGACTCACATGGGTGAATGTGAACAATTTTTTATTATTATTTTATTTTCTTTAGAAAATTATCCGGTAAAAGAAATGTGTTGAGTCCGACTTATTTATTTACTATTATTATTTTGTTTTCTTTCATTTGGCATTATGCAAAGGAGATCAATCTTTGAAACGAATGATCCTTTGCCTCTCCTATAATTCAACTGAATCTTTTATTTCATATCAGAATAACACAATATGAGGCCCACCCGGGGTCACATCGGCACATAAGCTACAAAACGAATGTGTAAAAGGTATAAATATATAATTACAAATAATTATGTTTAAAAATAAGTAGAAATCGGATATGAATAAGTGAATAATAATTGTGAATTTAAAGAAAAAAAAAAACATATGAATAAAAAGTTATTTGACTTTTAGCGAGTGTTTATAAACACTTGCCGAACATACCCTATAATATTAATAAATTAGTTTTCTTCTAGATTATCGGCGCAAGGACCATTTCAGTAGAAGTGATTTATATATCTTGGAACTTCATACAAACTTGGAATGTATTTTGTATGTTGAAATGAAGAGTGAAGTGTTAGCATTTTTAAACAATCAAAGGTTGCTCTTGAATGTGGATAATAGAGCTCTTAAGCAGAGGATGGCAGCATTGGCTCAGCCGCTCAAGATAAAATTTTCATAGATGGAAAGCTTTTCAATTTTTAAGGGATTCATAGAAAATTGTCGTATCTCACTCACGTCTCTCTTTCTTAATCATTTTACATCATGTTCAATTTAGCAGACTAATCGTACCCACTATAGCCTTGGATTCGATCAAGATCACTCAAAATATCGGAAGTTGAATACCTTCTACATAAATAAAAATGTGCAAGATGTCATATATCTCCTTTCTTTAATTATGTTCAACGTACTAAATATGCCCTTTACAATTTTGGATTGACGGAGCTTGCTATACAATACTAGACAAGTTAGGACAAAAAACAACATTTCGCATGTGTATGTTCTTTAATCATATCTTGTTCAGCATACTATGTTTCTTAATTTTGTTAATAAACTTTCTTTGAATATAGCCAATGACAGCCACCAAGAACCGCTGAAGAAGGAGATGGAGAAGTCGAGACAAATATGTGAAGAACAAAACACCATAAATAAATAGTTCTAGAAGCGTTATTTGATCCCTCTTTTACAATAGGAAGTGCTTTAGAGACTCCAAGCAAATAGTGTTAGCTAATTCTTCAAGCCTTAATCGTATTGTAGAAGCACAAATGAAATCTGGATAAGGAACAAATTTTTAAAAAAAAAAATCGATTTTAGGTTTAGAAATTGACATGCTTTGATTAACAAATTTGGGATGTTTTCTATATGATTTCTCATATATTTATTCTCGCCTAAATTGCTTTTTAGCTCTTTCTTTTCCATATTTTGGGACAAAAACTAGAATTCTAGAATCTTGTTGTTAGCTTAATTTTAAGCGTATAACATCTTCGTTTTTCCATTTGCTACTTATTGAAGAACACGCAAGATCTAGATTTCCTTCAATACTAAGAGGAAATAGCATATGGAAAGAGAAAATCAGAGCAATGGACCTTATATATAACCAATTGGAAGTTGGATTGGAATTTTTCTATATGATTTCTCATCTATTTATACTCAAATTCTTAGTGAAGAATTACTAAAACACGAAAGAACAAAGAGCACCTCTTGGAGAAAAATAAAAAAAACCCACTCCACCTTCCTTCCCTCGTGTTTTCACCCCGCCTTCCTTCCCTTGTGTTTTCCTCCGTCGGATCCACTAGTATTTGAACATCTAAAGGTGATTTATTTTTATTTTCTTTTTTGTGACGGGGGAATCCGCAACCGCTACCCTTTGAATACGCACTGGTAAAATCTTCGGATTGATGCAATTGTCTACAAACCACGCCAATCAAATAAATCGCACTAGGCAAGCCTCGTGCGACAGACTTGACTAAGAAGACAGACTTGACTAAGAAAGTGTTGGTAGAGAGAATCGAACTCGTGACCAAAAGTTTCTGCGCTCACCTACTCCACCAATTTGGTCACCCCATATCTAACGATGACTCTTTGATAGAATATTAGATGGTTTCTGTCCATTGCAGACCAATGTGCATTGAAATTAAAAGTCTGGGATCTAAATACAAAAATCGATATTAGGACCCACGTGCTCCATTCGCAAAAGGACGACCGCGATTTATATAAATGATAAATCACATGCAAATCCCTAGTAATTGTAATTTTCCTTAATTACCCTTTGTGTTTTTGTGTTTGTCTGGAACTGAAATTCTCGATAAATGAGAATAGAATGCGATTTATTTAGTTAGTTAATTAATTACAATATTCGCATGCAATATAAAACAATTAATAATAACGCATTTAAAACTCGTGTTAGGATGCTACACTTGACCCACATTTAAAAGAATTTTTTTACTCCTATACAATAATCTTATGGTGTACTTTTCTTCGTATGGACACTGTTTACTGCAAAATAAAAAGTTAAAATAAATTTAAAATTTGGGAAAGGATTGAACTTCTTAGTAAGTTCGTTAATTGTAGCACAAAATTGTAAGTTGCAATTTATGGGACATTAAACTTTTCTTTTTTAAATAAAAAAAAATGTATCCAATGGAAAAAATATATTAGGGTTTGCTAGCCAATTTTTCCGTTAATTTAGACTTTTTTAGGTAGCACATTTTTTTGATCGATTGAAAAAACAGTATAGTGTAATTTGAATTGTACTTTTCAACACATCAAATTGGTGATTTTTGATCGTTTTTCGAAATTTCTTCCAATTTTACACTCTCTAATATAATTAATTACATCCAAATCTATCATAAAAATAAATGAAGCTTGGAAAAAAAGGAAATAAATTCCTCTTCAAATAAATCATTCTCTCCATGTTGAATTATAAGGAGTGATACACATTTACTCTATATTGTTTACATATACATATTTTTCGACATATATGTGATGTATTCTTTTAAAACACTTTCAGAATCATGGGATAATAAGCTCCCAATATAGGTTGAATTATTTAAAAACCCTACTAAAAATTAGAAAGTATAATTATCGATATCCCTAAACTCTCAAGTAAACATTAGTGATCAAAATGTTCAATAGATAATGTTCGTGGCTTTTACCGTGTTTTTTATCGTTGAGATTTGGTGGAATTGTTCTCTTGTTCTTATATAATTGATATGTTACATTATTAATACACATTATGAAGGTCGATTTCTCTTTGAAAATGAATAATTACAAGAATTAATTCAATATACGAACAAGTTTCCCAAAATAATTACTTAATAGATGACAACTTTAATACGAGAATTTTGACATACTTATATGAGAATACATGAAACAGAAACTTGTACACAACGTTTTTGTTCTCCATTTTTGTTTCTTTTAGGGACGGATAGAATACAATGCGGGACGTTAGTGACAGTTTTGGGACAACTGAAAGTTTAAGTACCAAATAGAGCAAGGTGTAAACTTCGAGTACCATTTTAAATTCTTTTATAAGAGAGAATAGCCGCCAGCATGAAATTATTTTATACCATGTGGTGCAAGTGTACAATTAAGTAATGGTAAACTCACAAACTTTCACGTAACCGTCATTGGGTTGTCAACTACGGAGTACCCCAAAAAATTACTTATTTGCAAAGAGACAATAATTATTTGCAAAAATGTCACTATATATGGAAGAAGACTAGGGGATCAGTACTCGTCAACCATGGCTTCTTTCATCGCAAAATCTCTTTATCTCCCATTTCTTCTTCTTCTTCTTCTTCTCTCGACGCCAGTGGTCATAAATAGTCGACGACTGCCCTATGCTTCTTCCGATGAAGTGGTATCGGATGGAGTTGGAAAGTCCGAGTCCGACTCCATAATACGCTTCAAAGGAATGCATTCAGC